TCCTCGCGAAGCCCATGCTCATCACCAGCCTCGACGTCTGCATGGAAGGGTATTACCGCCGGGAATTGTCGTTCGGACCAGATGTCAGCCGGGTAGCGAGCTGATGGCAATGATTCTGAGAGGGTGGGGGCCGTTTGTGCTGAGGCTATTTGGGCTGTGAAGAACTTTAATGAGGGGTATTAAGGGGTGGATGGGGGTTGTGACGGATATGTGGGGGATATGCTTTGGGAGGAGGAGGTAAGGTGTGTTGTCGTGTCTCCCAAGTTGTCTTGTCTTGTCTTGGGCGGTTACTGGACATATTGCCGCATTGCCTTTTGGCGTTGTAAATAATGGCAATAAAATAGAGCATGGTATGTATCCTGCCATGTTACGCTGCGGTTCACACTCTCCCATTTCTCGAGCTTTCATCTCATGCTTTCCAAGTATCTCGAGGCCGAAAACATCGACAGAGGGCGAGTGTCAGCCGATAGGCAAAGTAAACTGGACTGGAGATAGAGATGTTAACCAAACCTCAGAAACGAAACGAAAGTTACCTAGAAGCTTGAATTGAGATGATCTGGGTTGCGTGAAAGAGGATGGAGGTGAAGTAGGTAGCTTCCATGTTACCGTTGAAGAGACCAACGCCACCGCCGGGCATCTGTGATGTGCTGTGTTAGTGGTCGGGCATGATAGGTATGTAAGGATAAGATCAGACGAGGGTAACGCACGGCATCATTAAAGTGGTTGTTCCCCAGGTCGCTTTCCGTGTTGGTTGCCCGCACAATCCGCTGGGCTGGAGCCTGGTGGTTCCCAAGGTTGGCTCGCCTAGTAAGGAGTCTGCTATTGCTGGTTCATATAAGTAAGAAATTGCCTCTCCAACTCGCCTATTAACGAAGAGAGCGCCGCTAACACTGATTATAATACTCTTATTACGCCTGAGTCCAAACCCCAGCGAGAATTAGGGTTAAGAACTAGAACAAGGCGCCTCCTGTTTGGTAAAGCCCGGTCATGGAGACCAAAGCTCCCGTCCTTTGTTGGCGTAGCCAACAATATTTTGATAACATCTAACGAACGGGTTTTCAGGTCCTGCTTGTTAGTGGCTTGAAGGACTGTCATAAGCTGATCGACTCGGTCACCTTCCATGTCGACGGTCACCGCAACTTGTCAAAACTGAGGATGGACGGGCTCAGTCTTTTGAGTTACTTAGAAGCCTGAAGAAAATATATTTATTCTTTTTACTTTTCACTTTTACTCGACTTCTCTTTCTTTTATTTTTCTTCTCCATTTTCTTGATTTCCCCATTTTACTTCTTTTCTTTCCTTACCGTATATGTTCTTTTCCTTCTCGTAGTCTCTTCTAATTCCTTAGTTCCTTTCGCTTATTCCTTTCTTCTTTCTTTTGTTTTACATGATATTTCTAAAGCCATCCGCGGTGATAGGTGAGGAGAACAACAAGCTGATCTAGTCGCGGAAGTGGGTGCCTATCAACTTGGCGAGTTCCCGTAGGGCGGCAATGATCATGTACATACCGGTGACCGTACGGGTGTTACTGATGGTCATATCAGTTAGTATATCCTGATAGTCACACTGTCGGTCTGTCTATGGTACCAAGAAAATATGGCATAAAATAGGGAAACTACTCACAATTGTATCCTCCCTATCGACAGTAAAGCTCAACCGCCACTCGTGCTCTACAATGAGTAGCAATGGCAACGTCACAATTCTTTTCCCCTTCATGCGGGGCCTGTCTTCTATTAACGCACCCATACGCCGGTGCCAGGCGGCCGTATAGACCCCAAGCTGTCGCCGGCCATCCTCGAGACTCGCCGTTCTAGTCTCTACCCCAATCGCAATGGGCGAATACCGTAGCGGATCGTACGCCAGCTGATTTATACCCAGGGGTACAGGCACCTCCCTCACAGCCTCACGGATAGCCTCCCCCAGCGCTGGATCCATCTCCCGTTGCCGCCCAACCCACCCATACAGCTCGCGTTCTAGACCCGAATCCACGAACAGCGCCAGGACAAAGTCGAGTCTCGTCGAATCAACCGTCTCGCCGGGCCACCTACCTAGGGCGGGATTGCACGGCAGAAATGGTGGCGCGATAGGTGCATGGGCGACGGGCTCGGCCAGCACATGTGCATATTCTGGCCGGTCTAGGGCGAGGCGAAATAACGGGTAGTGGACCTCTAGATTCCATGCGGTTGCCTGCCTGCCGAGCACGCGGCAATTGTTTGCGGCGGCGGCAAGATCGACGATCGTGTCTAGTTCAGTAAGGGCGACTGCTCGGGGGCTGGGTCGACGCCGCCGCCGGCGCTCTGAATATGACAGATTTGGTGGGGGTAGGTCGTCGGCGGCGGCGCGTGCGGTGTCTTGATCGTCCACCCGGAGGTTGCCTTCAGCGGAGGCCACTGAGTCTGACCGCTTCTGGGTAACAGAGCCTTCCTCGAACATCCCCTGGTCATGATAAAACCGCGCACTCTGATAGCGGCCGCTGGTTATGCTGTGAATATCGTCACGAATGGAGAGCGGCATGATCTTTTCTGGGTTTGTGATATCTACTAAACGCTCGTATAGCTCTTGTGTGTCAGCCGGCAACTGGGTGAAGGCAGTGAACGCTGGGAAGTATATGGGCTTTTCGAAATTGCGGAGCCCGCTGGTTATCTTTTCTGAGTCTCCGGAGCCGGCATCCTCGGCGGCACTGTTGAGGCGGCGTCGTTTGCCAGGCGATAGAGTCCGGCCGCGAGATGTCGGTGGTGTCGTCATCTCGAGCTTGCCTTGTAGCCACTGGTCGATAAACCAGGACGCGTTGGACTGCGGATAAGGATCGGTGGGCTGCGGCTGCATGTTGGGCGGAATGAATGATGAATTTCGATATCGCGGTGCTGCTCCTTGCATGTGATTGCCATGTGGCGGCGCCTTGGCGCAGCTCGACGAGATGACCAAGGCCCCACAACATCGCTCACGACGGCACTTACAATGCCCTAATACAAGTAAGTACCAAGAAATCAAGGAAAAGAAGCAAAGGAAACAAAAAAGAGAAAGAATGAAAAGAAACGGAACAAAAAAAAAAAGACAGAGTACTTTGGCCGCGGCAAGTCAAGCCAACGGCACTGGACCCGGCAGACCGGGCCGCATCCAAAGTTGCCCACGGCAATTGTCTCCACAGTTGACCTCCGTCATTTTTATCCTCCGTGATACTTCGGAGGCCAAGACTTCCTCCTCCCCACTCCTCCGCCGCCGGGCCCACCCGGTAATGCCATTCGATCCTAGTCCGGACCCGTATCCGTATCTCTCAATCGCCGAGACGCATCGGAAGACTCACATTCGAAGCACGCAAGTCGCTCACTCAGACAAACGAGGCAAACGAATGACTGATGACTGGCAAATTCAAAGGCTTTCAGCCGAACCCCCCGTTCTCCATCGGTAATCATCAGACATAGCCCCATAATCCATCATCTCACAGCCCTCGGTGCGGTGACTGAGGCCACTCTCCTTTGATTGCGGCATCTTGTCACAAGGTTATCGTCCGGCCTCCCGAAAACAAGTTCCGAGCATGGATACGATAGAGGCTCGACCCCAGCCGGCCTCGGCCCCACGGGCTCCCCGCATCACCAACGCCTGTGAAGCCTGTAGGGCCGCTAAGGTCAAGTGCCAGGCAAGCACCCAGCTGGGAATCTGCAAGAGGTAAGTAGATTGTAGGCGAACCGGCTTGGGCCCCCGATTTGGCATGGCATTGCGCCACGGCTGGCCACTAAAAGCAGTAGCAGCCTGTCCCTGCTATCCTTTATCCCTTTCCATCTTCCCGCTCTCAGCCCCCATAACGCCAGTGACCTGACCCTGAGCAGATGCCTTGATTCCAAACGGGAGTGTATTTTCAAGACTGGTCCACGAACCAGGCGGCCAAGACAGCCAAAGAGGTAACACCCCTTTCTTTTTTCTTTGAAGCGCAATCAACCCACTCCTAAGCCCCATCATCAACCCCTTTAACCCCCAAATAACAACAACAATAACAACCCCCCCCTCACAACTTACAACCACCAGACCCAACCCCCCAACAACCTCCACCACCTCCACCACCTCCCCGCTCGCACCCCCCCGCCCGCCTCCCCCGGGCCCCTCCAAGACCTTCACCATCGACATCCCCATGTCCCCCGAGGACGACATCGCCGACTCCATGGAAGCCCTCCGCCTGACCCACGAAATGGGCATCGACGCGCTCGTGCCCAACGTCTCCGAGGGCGACGACGACGCCGACTATTACGACTACGACGAGCACCCCGACCACGAGATGGGCGACTACGACTGGCTCGACCAGGCCTCGGTGTCGGGCGTGGGGTCGGTCCTGTCGGGCGCGTCGTCCTTGCCGGTCGGTGCGTCCGCGCTCTCGACACCGCCGAGTTCCGCGTATCAGCAGCAGGGCCAGCAGCAGCAGGGGCAGGGTTTGTCTGGGGGGCAGTCGCAGTCGCAGGGTGAGGGGGCCAAGGGCAAGTCGAGGACGCTGGCGAGTTTGAGGCTGCAGCCGCAGTTTAATTTGGATTCGGCGGGGAAGTTGCTGGAGACGTTTCGTGGGGAGATGATGAGCCATTTTCATTGTGTGGTGCTGAGGGAGGAGGAGACGGTGGCAGGTATGGCCAAGGACCGGCCGTTTGTGCTGTTGGCAATCCTGGCCGCGGCGAGTGGCAGCAGTACGCTGCAGGGGCATAGTTTGTATGATGAGGAGTTTCGCAAGATTCTGGGGTTGAAGTTCGTGGCTGGGGGGGAGAGGACCATCGAGCTGCTTCAGGGGCTGGTGATTTATATCGCTTGGTGGGTTTGCCCCCCGACCCGTGGTTTACAAAGTATCACGCGCGCTGACAAAGTAGGTATCCGTTCCATCTCCGGCCAAAAAACAAGCAGTCGCTACAATACATCCGCATGGTCGTCGACATCATCAGCGACCTTGAGCTCGACGAAGACCCCGGCACCGACTCCATGGAAACTCTCGCAACCCCCGAGCGCCTCGAACAAATCCGCCTCTACCTCGCAAGCTACTACTCACTCATCGTACACACCCCTCCCCCTTTCCCAACGTCCATCTAGAGTCACCTACTAACCCACCCCCAGCGCCGCCTCCACCTGAGACCGCTCCTCCTCCCCTCAGCTACACGAGAATACAACTCCCCGCTGCAGCGACCTCCTCGAGCAACACAGCCCGCTCCCCGGCGACCACACGCTGACCTGACAAAGCGCGCCTCGAGCGGCTCATCGAAGAGACCAACGACCTGCGACGCACGCAGCGCGGGCGCTCCCAGAGCGAGTACCAGATCGGGCTGATGATCCGGGGCATGGAAACCCAGCTCGCCGAATGAGAGACCCGCATGGCGACTCGCATCACCGCCAACACGTCCATTCGCCTCGCCGTGCTGTTCACGCGCGTCTTACTCTCGAGCGCGCCGCTGCTGAAGCTGCCGTCGGGAAGCTGGCGCCGGCGCTGGATGGGTCGGCGGCGTTCGCGCCGATCCGTGCGTTGGGGGATGGGGTGGGCCCGCGCTGCATGAGAGTGCGGTAAGAGTGGTGTTGGGGCTGGCGCCGCGCGAGTTTAATGCGTTTATTGGCGTGGAGTGGGGCGCGTTGATCTTGTCGATTATTTTGGGGTTTCGCATGTCGTTTCCGCTGTTGGTTTGTCCGGAGTGGGATGATGGCGCGGCGCGCGGGGTGGTGAGGTTTGAGGAGTATATCACGCGGTTTTGTCGTCTGGGGGAAGGCGCTGGTGGTGAGGTGCGCGCGATCCCGCCCCCCGCGGTACCGGGGGTCGGCGTGGTGCCGGGTGCGGCGGCGGGCCAGGCGAAGAGTATGGATGTGTTGAGCGCGAGTCGGATTGTGTTGGATATGGTGAAGCGGAAGTTTATGAGGCGGCTGGTGAAGCTGGAGGGGACGCGGAAGAGGCAGCAGGAGGAAGAGGAGAAGCAGGGACAAGAGGCGCTTCTGGCGGCGGCGGCGGCGGCGGCGGCGGCGGCAGCACCTCACCCGATTTCGGTGCCTACGACATCTGGGTCTACATCTGGTAGGGTGGGGAGGGGGGCGCCGGTTCACGATTCCGCTACTAGTGGGTGTCCCATGATGGACGGCAGTCTGGAGCCGTATTACCCGTATTGGGACGAGACTTTCAACAACGGTCTAGCTGCTACTAGCAGCGCCTTTGTTGCTGAAGCGCAGGGAGGAGGGCAAGGGACGGGAGCTGCCGCCCCTCCAGAGCCTGGGAGTGTGGAATTGCCGGATGACTTGTGGACGGCTATGACCATGGGGTGGGCGCAGGGCGATATAAACTTTGACGCTGTGTGAGTACGGGGCTGGCGATGTGCGTTCTTTAACTCATTCTACGGTATGTTGCCAAAGGATTTCTCAGCGATTGCAAAACCGGTTGGCGGGAGATACTGCTTTAAACATCCACAAGGCCTTGAATACTCTGAGGATTCGAACGTTGGTAGCTTCTTTCCAGTGTCACCCAATTTTGGTACGTCAGAAAAGGAGCCTAGACTTGTGATCGCAAACTCAGCCCTGAGTTTGCCCTGAATGACAGATACCGTATCACATCATCGTCTTGTTGCACGAAACCCCGCTGGTATTGCTTTTCCCCCGAGTCACCTTCCCGCTTCCTTTGCTTCTCTTTCCTGTCCCGTCCCCCACACTGTTCCACGTTGTTACATTACCCCTTATTCTAGTGATATTCTGGTGTCTCCTTGCCTTATCTCTCCGTTACATCTTGGATAAGGAGGGATCGGCGGTGCCGCACCCAGAAAGCCACCAACAAACGGTGTTCGTCATCGTCATCAACTTTAAGCCGAGGCTAGGCTAGCCATCAACAAAGGGGACTCGAGGTTTCGAGGACAAAAGACAATGACTATCAATGCAAGGGCGGCGATGACGGTGGGGAACATGTGACTTGCCGCACACGCAAGTCATAACTAAGGTATCCTTTGTTGTGACCATCCGTGCCATCCTCCGACTTCAACCTGTGGTTGGCCGGTCTCGTCGGGTGGAATGCCCGTTCCCTGACCAGAAAAGAAAGAAAGCTGGTCTCTTTGCTGACAGCAAATGGTAAATGACACCGTGTACCCACAATTGTGTCCCTTCCAGATAATCAAGAACGTGCTTGCGGCCTTTGATTGATCCAAGATGTTGTGGAGCGAGCATGGGGCCTGCCTGGGCGCTTGTGCCAAGAGCTGAGCCCAGGCCAGGGGATCTGCAGAAGCTTGTCTCGCAAGGTTCCGGAGAGAGGTCAATGCGCGGGACCCCAGAGGGGTTTTCCCCCACTGGCCCCGCCTAAAACTTGCGCGAGACACTTGGGTTGGAGGACTGGAGTCCTCCCTTGCCGCTTCTCTTGTTCGCCCGATCTTTTCCGTGCGAAAACGAGGGATATGCCAGATGGAAGACGTGACTGGCTTGACATGTGGTGTGCGAGGGGTGGTACAGACGTGGGGCGCATGGTCGGGCTATCGGAAACGCCGTTGTGTCGGCTGTGAGAGAGCCCGGCGCCCGTCCTACACTAAGGTAGTTTCCAAGTCTTAGGCTGGGTTGTCTAGAGCGGCTTCTTCCATTGCACCGACTTTCTTTGACTAGCAGCCGTTTCAGGGTTCGAGGAAACAGTACCCGGCAAGTTCTGACCAAGATGCCGCTTTGAAGTGGTCGGTCGTGCCTGTCCAAGGCGACGATGCAGGCAGGTCTGCACGTTGCGTGATGAAGATCAAAAACGATCTGCGGCAGACCGATCGGAGGAACATGCCCGCCGAGGTATGCGTCCCCCAGAATGGGGGATCGTGGGGACTGGGGCGCCTGCAGGACCAGTAGTAGGGCTGGTGTGGCAAAAGTCGAGTCCCATCCACGAAATGGGGGGGTTAACTTGACTCTCCGTTCCTTGGCCTCATCCTTGACACGTCTTGTTCGGG